TCATTACTCACTGAGTGGGATACTGTAGCTATTGTATATAATCATTACTCACTGAGTGGGATACTGTAGCTATTGTATATAATCATTACTCACTGAGTGGGATACTGGAGATATTGTATATAATCATTACTCACTAAGTGGGATACTGGAGATATTGTATATAATCATTACTCACTGAGTGGGATACTGGAGATATTGTATAAGACATTACTCACTGAGTGGGATATTATAGCCATTACCCACTGAGTGGGATACTGTAGCTATATCATATAATCATTACTCACTGAGTGGGATACTGTAGCTATTGTATATAGTCATTTCTCACTGAGTGGGATATTGTAGCTATTGTTATAGTCATTACTCACTGAGTGGGACAATTTCGCTATTGTATAGTCATTACTCACTGAGTGGGATACTTTAGCTATTGTATATAATCATTACTCACTGAGTGGGATATTGTAGCTATTGTATATAGTCATTACTCACTGAGTGGGATTTTGTAGCTATTTTATAAAGTCATTACTCACCGAGTGGGATTTTGTAGCTATTGTATATAGTCATTACTCACTGAGTGGGATATTGTTGCTATTGTATATAGTCATTACTCACTGAGTAGGATATTGTAGCTATTGTATAAAGTCATTTCTCGCCGAGTGGGATATTGTAGCTATTATATATAGTCATTACTTACCGAGCGGGATATTGTAGCTATTGTATATAGTCATACTCACTGAGTGGGATTTTGTAGCTATTTTATAATGTCATTACTCACCGAGTGGGATTTTGTAGCTATTGTATATAGTCATTTCTCACTGAGTGGGATATTGTAGCTATTGTTATAGTCATTACTCACTGAGTGGGATATTGTTGCTATTGTATATAGTCATTACTCACTAAGTGGGATAGTGTTGCTATTGTATAGTCATTACCCACTGAGTGGGATACTGTAGCTCTAGTATATAATCATTACTCACTGAGTGGGATATTGTAGCTATTTTATATAGTCATTACTTACTGAGTGGGATATTGGGGCTATTATATATAGTCATTACTCACCGAGTGGGATATTATAGCCATTACCCACTGAGTGGGATACTGTAGCTATTATATATAGTCATTACTCACTGAGTGGGACAATTTCGCTATTGTATAGTCATTACTCACTGAGTGGGACAATTTCGCTATTGTATAGTCATTACTCACTGAGTGGGACAATTTCGCTATTGTATAGTCATTACTCACTGAGTGGGACAATTTCGCTATTGTATAGTCATTACTCACTGAGTGGGACAATTTCGCTATTGTATAGTCATTACTCACTGAGTGGGATTTTGTAGCTATTTTATATAGTCATTACTCACTGAGTGGGACAATTTCGCTATTGTATAGTCATTACTCACTGAGTGGGACAATTTCGCTATTGTATAGTCATTACTCACTGAGTGGGACAATTTCGCTATTGTATAGTCATTACTCACTGAGTGGGACAATTTCGCTATTGTATAGTCATTACTCACTGAGTGGGATATTGTAGCCATTGTTTATAGTCATTACTCACTGAGTGGGATAGTGTCGCTATTGTATAGTCATTACTCACTGAGTGGGATATTGTAGCTATTGTTATAGTCATTACTCACTGAGTTGGATATTGTACGTACATTGTGTATTCATAACTTAGGGTGTCGGATACTGAAGTTTATGTATATATTTATACTGGAGATATTGTATATAGTCATTACTCACTGAGTTGGATATTGTACGTACATTGTGTATACATAACTTAGTGTGTCGGATACTGAAGTTTATGTATATATTTATACTGGAGATATTGTATATAATCATTACTCACTGAGTGGGATAGTGTCGCTATTGTATAGTCATTACTCACTGAGTGGGATATTGTACGTACATTGTGTATTCATAACTTAGTGTGTCGGATACTGAAGTTTATGTATATATTTATCATTCACTGAGTAGGATATTTGTTTGCCCTCACAATCTCACTACCACTGTCAGCTCCATAATTAGAAGGTTGTTTATCTAGATACAACAAACACATTTTTACAGTTGCACTGTAGCATGGTTATCAATTCCAGTGCTTTAGTGAAAAGGCTCATTTGCATATATTTGTTCAGTAATAATATTCTAAATTGATTTTACTTAAGATGGCAAATTATTTAAATTAGTACAACAGAAGAAACAAGATAAATCATTGGTTCTTAGTAACAGGTAGTGTGGGGTGGGGGTGGGGAGGTGATCAAAAGTTTTACATAAATATAATACAGATGGATGTGCTTGTCGATGAACTGATTAGCTTTTACTTTCTTTGATTTTGAACTAGACATTCAACATATGAAAGCACACGAGAAATTAGCATATAGATAGGTGAAATTCAGATTAAATGACCCAAAATAAATTCAAGTTGAGAGTAACGCAATAACGAAAATGTGTTACATATATTTCTATATGCATACCTGACACTGAATATTTTTAAGCCCTAAAACTGATTTTATTGAAATGTGTTTTCCAACCTCTCATACTACTTAAAATGCATTAAAACAATTTTGTAAATGTCACAGGCTGCACATAGGTAGACACTCGGGGGTCTCTCAATCTCCGTCAAGAGCGGGTCTCGCATTCCTCGTCATGGTGTCTCATACGACTTATACATGATCTGTCACCTGTTCACACGGGGTCCCGTACTTCGTTTCACTGGACTCTCTTTATTCAACACACGGGGCACCCTACCTCGTTACACGGGGTTCCTCTACCTCATCACACGGGTCCCCTACTTCGTTACACGGGGTTCCCCTACCTCATCACACGGGGTCCCCTACCTTGTTACAGGTGTTCCCCTACCTCATCACACGGGGCCACCTACCTCGTTACACGGGGTTCCCCTACCTCAACACACGGGGTTCCCTACCTCAACATATTATAATCCTTACCTAATCAAACGGGATCCCCGTACCCCATATCGTCACATGGGCTATCCTAACTTACCACATGTTGGGGATAACTGGGATTATTATACCTCTACTTTATTTACTCTATATAAAAGTAAATGGTTAAATCGAATATATCCCCACTTTTGCCTGACTGTGTTTTAGTCCTGTGTGTTAGTCTGGGAACTTAAACACACCTACACTCGGTGTTTCCGCCGAGCCAATCAGGCGAGTGGTGAGCGGAGCTGTTACCGAACTCGGAAGCGACGCGCGAGGTGGGCGGAGCTTGCTACCGAACTCGGAAGCGACGCGCGAGGTGGACGGAGCTTGTAACCGAACTCGGAAGCATTTGGCTCCATTGCCATGAAAGGGGTGGTTGGGACGTGAAGCTATACTTTTGTCCGGCGTCATGCGTCCGTAAACAATTTATGTCTCTCCAGTACGTATCGGTATAATAAATCGAACTCGCCTCGGGAAATAGACCTGGTCTCGGGACACCAGAAACTTGCTATATCCCTCAAACCCATACTTTAACTGTATACTATCCTGCCTGAACATAGGACCCCACCTTATCATCACCGATTAATCCCAGAAGGACAACACAGCTGTATGATGCAGTTTAATTCATTTCTGGCATACTGTATATGTTACCAAATTGTAAAGGTGTAGTCACCTGTGTGTGTTACGTACATCTGACAATACCCTTATACCTCTTGGGATAAGTAGGATTTGAAAGGAAACAAATCTTTGAATAAAATGTACTATTTGAGAACTTCACATTTTATTAGGTCACCTGAGACAAAGTCTCAAGTTACCTATTGCGATCGCCTTTTGTCCGGCGTCATGCGTCCGTAAACAATTTACATTTTCGACTTCTTCTCCAAAACCCCTGAACCAATTTCAATGAAATTTTGCAGAAACCTTTCATGGCCAATGGTCAACCGAAATTGTGAATTATATGGTCCCCAGTTCCTAGGGGCCTGAGGGGCGGGGCCAAAAGGGTAAAATTGACTAAAATTTCAAAAATATCCAGATATGGTAGAATCAAATACTCTTCATAGATGAATGGGTCTTAAGGTGCTTTACCAAAAAGTGAATTTCATGACCCTGGGGTCTCACGTTTCCCCCTGGGGAGGGGGTAAACTTTACTATAGTTTATATAGGGAAATCACATTTTGGACCAACATTTGTTTAATTTCCTTTGGAAGTAATTCAATTTGGATTAGCATTATCAGTCAACTTTTTTATTACTTCCAGTAATAATGCAAATTGGAAATAATAGTGTTTCCTGATCAGCAATTACCCAGAAAGTAGACAGACTACCTTAAACATTGTCACAGATCCTCCCCATGGTCTCTTGTTGGAACCATGTAAACATTGATATTGAATTTTTCTACCAATAGTATGGAAACGTGTGAAAATAATATGTAACGTCTACTAATTAATTCTTTATTTTTTGCTTTTATTTTAGATATGGGCGTGCTGATTTCTCGTTCCGCAGACTTTTTCGACACTGGTTTCCTGGAATCAATCCCCGGAACTCCGACTGACATTAAGAATGAGATTGACGCGAGCATAAGTGGTGATCCTACCAGCTACACACTATTGCATGATGCCTACGAGACTGATGTGACGTCAATGGTCAATGACCCTTTCGAACAGAACTTGTTTTATCTTGAGAAAGACACACGCAGCCTCTATAGGATGGACAATTTCGATCTTAAATTTGAACACCCAAACCGCACTATCACGAGTGTACACGCTGGTGTGTCTGAATCCTCAACCAGCATCGCTTTTGATTGGATAAGGAAAGTTCTGTACTGGGTAGACAATCATCATGGATGGGTCTGTTTACAACCAGCATACACAGACGATCCGACGATGTTCACAGTGATCATCCACAGCTTGTCATATCCCTCGGCAATAGCACTGGACGCAATAGTGGGGTAAGTACATAGAACATTACACTCCCATTTACTATCTATCCACTATGTTAAATGGAAGGATTTTTGAGACACATTTGACAAATCTATCTCATGTCTCACTGATCTGGTACTTTAGTTTAAGGTTAAATGGAGAGATTTTTGAGACACCTTAGAAATATCCTGTCTCAGTGATTTGACAACTTTAGTTTAAGAGGACTCTACTAGTTAGTGGTCGATGTATTAAGAATCAATAGTTCTAGCTGTGGACATAATACATGTTTTTCACCCGTATCCCACTATATGGGACAATGGAGATGATTTACACTACAATATATCAGATTATCAATAAGTCAAAAAGTCAATACTGATTTGATAATTTCTAGAGTCCAGATCGATTTAAAAGGAACTTACAAAGCAAGCAATTTCGTTTGTACATACTGGTGTACCTATTCAATTATATGTTCTTGCAATAATCAACATTTTCTCTTTGTTTTTACAGGAAGATTTTTTATTTTGATCTGAGAAGCAGTAGTGGCCGTATATCATCTGCTTCATTGTCAGGAGACTTACAGAAAGTGATAACACACAGATCACTCGGGTTCGTGTCCAGTATGGTCGCCGACCCCACAGAGCAGCGGCTGTACGTTTTAGACTCCGAACGAATGGTAATGGAGTCAATGACCTATTTTGGAAATGACCGTCGGTCCATCAGGAAACTGGCCGGATACAATATTATGTCAATGGCTATCACAAGGGTAATTATGTCTGATAAATTTACTTTGATATGTGACTACGACAAGACTTTTTATATAATATAAACTTTGTTATGCATCCAGAACAAGAAAAAATATATCTTCCTGGTAACAAGTTTGGCTTTATCGAGTGGATTTTTTTACAAGGATAAGAAACTTGCCATCTTACTCCAACAATATTTATTTTTTATACTTTATTTGAATTGGACATGATTTCCCGAATCGAATTAATTATCTGACGAAAACAAGAATTATGATATCGGCTTTGTTTGTGAGCAGGTCAAGATATCTTAGATATACTTTTTACTAGGATAATAACTGTTTTATTGTTTTACTAGGATAATAACTGATTTATTATTTAACTAGGATAAAACCTGTTTTATTGTTTTACTAGGATAATAACTGTTTCATTGTTTCACTAGTATAATAACTGTTTTATTCTTTTTACTAGGATAATCACTGTTCTATTGTTTTACTAGTATAATAACTGTTTTATCCTAGTAAAACAATAACTGTTTTATTGTTTTACTAGGATAATAACTGTTTTATTGTTTCACTAGTATAATAACTGTTTTATTGTTTTACTAGGATAATAACTGTTTTATTGTTTTACTAGGATAATAACTGTTTTATTGTTT